CCCGCCCAGAACCCATACACAAATCGTAAGTGAGATGAGTGGTCACTGTTTACCCAGTCTGTAACAAAGTAACGATGGACGTAGGCATGAACTTGTGACAGAAGCGTTGCTTGTTCTCCGAGTGTGTTTGTTTCACCATAGCACTTGGTCCTCCTTGTCTGACACTTTTCGTTTTATTGTCTCCCGTGCACCAAAGCAGCTACAAAAGAAAAGAAAACCCAGCGAAAACAACAACAACAACAACAACAACAACAACAACAACAACAACAATGCAACTACCTTCGGTTGGGACCTCAGAAAGGAAGGGTTTGTTTTCTTAGAAAGGAAGGATTTGTTTTCTCCACCTTGATCAGTCCTGCCTAAGACGACCACCTGTCTTATACGGCCACTTTTCTCCTTGACAATGGGTGGCCGTCTTATACAGGTTCGACTGTATATATATATATATGCAAACTGAGCCCACAAACGTGAAATTATGTGATTCTGTAAATTTTTAACATAGAAATAGAAGGGTAAAGAAAAATAATAAAAAATTATGCAAAAAAGAAACAAATTTGGCTAAAATATGCGGGGCACATAGAACCACGGGGACAGACAAAGCCTTCATACATTTTTGAACAAAAAAATCTTTCTTCTTTTTCCGTTTAAAAAAAAAGAAGAAATAATTATCTCATACACAAGCAGATGTCCGCACCACAGGGTATGATTTCTCATCAAACTTTATCAGACAATTTATAAATTGGAGAGGGAAAAAAATGGAAGCGGTCGTCTGTTGTGATATATGATCTACATGTCGTCGGAAGTGATGACGTCACAGTGTCGTCTGCTATATCGACATGTCGGCAAGAAGTGATGACGTCATCCGGCAGTGATGACGTCACAGCTGCGTCACCTCCAGACTCCCGTCTGCGTCATCCCTCAGTTGTAGCAGCCCTCCTGACACTCTGAGGGATTAAAAAACATTTTAAAAAAGAGAAATATTTTAGTGTTTTTTACACTCCCGTCGACACAATTTAGATTATTTATTAGATTATTTATTAGATTATTTATTAGATTAGACAGAAAAAATAGATATTGGTGTTTTGTACTTCCCCTTCGACATCGACACAATGTGGATTACTTTTTAGATTATTTATTAGATTATTTATTATATTATTTATTAGATTAGACAGAAAAAAAGAAAGAAATACAGTAGAAACCATATATAACAGGCCCGGTAATAACAGGGATCCGGTAATAAC